GATAACTTGGTCGGTCCTCTGCCCTCCCGGCCAGGAGCAAAGCTCCTTAACTCCCACGGGTGTGCTCAAGGGCCCTTCTTGTCACCCCACAGGTACTGGAGGAGGTGAGTCGGGATCTGGAGAGATTTGGAAACCGTCTGCTAAGCGAGGTCAGCCCGCTGGCCTGGGACTGCGAGGCGAACCCCCCCACGCTCCGGCAGTTCAGTGCCTGGGGACAGCGGGTGGATCACATCGTCACCTGCCCGGCCTGGAGGAGGATGAAGGAGATCGCGGCGGAAGAAGGGCTGGTCGCTGAGGCCTACGAGAGAAGATTCTCCAACTGGAGGTAACTGGGGGAGAGCGGGAGGGGCTTGGTGCCCCGCTGGTTGCTCTCAGCAGGGTACACCGAGCATCTTGTCAGACTGAACTCCTTGTTGTATAACGGGGGACAGATGACACGCGGACAAAAGCAGCCCTGCCGCTGCGCCGAACAGCAGGGTCTGTCCGCTGTGATGTTCCACCTCGGCGGTGATAAGCCGTAACTAATGGCCTGCAGTTGATCACAATATTGTTCGATGTCACCTTCCTGATTCTGGGGCCTGGTGGTTCCCCACACGGCTCCAGCTTTACGTGCACGAGTTGTAATGCAGCCAAGGGGCTGGGATTTTACGTGCAGCTTTGCTGTCTTCCAGCCTCTGGAGACAGAGCCACGTTTCTTATTTTTAAAAACCATACTGCACGGGTTGGCACGCAGCGTCTTCCATCCAGCCTTGCACTGGCAGTCCCTCGTGAACTGAGAAACTCTGCTGCTCCTCTTTTGTCTCCCTGGGCAAAACAGCTTTTGCCCTCTCAGAAACAATTCTCGCCCGCTTTAGCTCTATTTCATCCTCCTGATGTTGAACTGCTGCATAACCTGTCTGTTTTCACTGTCTTTCTTCCCTAGCCGTCTGCATCAGGCTGTCAAACTGTACTTATTTTCAAGCTTCTCTGGAAGTTTCAGCTGCCCACTGGCCATGACTGATGGGGCAGCCAAAGTCATTGAGGTATGAGCTCAGCCGGTCTCGGAGGGCACAGCCCATGTCCTGGCAGCACTGGTTAGAGACTGGAGCACTGGCCAAGGACGGGGGAGAGCTGCTCAGCCATCTGGCTAGCTAGAAAAGCCAGCCCTTATATAGCTACCCCTGGACATTTTAATTCAATAAAAATTTTTTAAAAAAAAAAAAGCATGGGGCATTTACCTCTTTCCCGCAGCTCTTTGGGTGCTGGCGGCATCCAGCCTACATGAACCTTGGCACACGTTCTGTTTGGAAAGCTCTCTGTCCAGATGTCTTGGCGGCACAGAAATCCAAGCGAGGCAGAGATGCTCAGTGCTCCTTTCTGCAGCACAAGCCCGCTCCTGTCTGCAGCCGCACAAGAGCTGGGTGGTCTCAGGGACTCTCAGGTGCTGCAGTGCTGGGCACTCGGTGCCCCACTCACCTGCTCACAGACCATCCGTCGGAGCCTAGGACACAGAGGTGGCAGTTAAGGCAACTGTCTCATTTCATTTAGCATCATCTTAGTTTCTTTTCCCTCCTCCGAAATAGTCACTCGGTATTCCCGGATCTCTGAAAAACGCTTTTGACCATCTGACATGCCGTGACCCCAAGAAGTTCTGGACCTCTGGCCAGTGGATGACCGAGCGCGCAGGAGGCTCTGACGTGGGTACGTGTTCTGAGGAGGGGGAGAGCTGCAGTAGTGGCTGGATGCGTTAGCGAGAACCGAGAAAGAGAAGGGTGTAGGGGACTTACAAAGCCAGGTAGCTGGTCTAGGAAACTTCAGTAGAAATCATCCAAATCCTCTGCGCAGTTCTGCCTTCTAAGCAACAAAAGGCCCAACTTCTGTCCACATGCAGCCAGGCACAGAGCTGTGATCCTCACACTGATAACACGCTGGTGTCTAGCTCTGTAACCTAAACCTTGAGCAAAGCAGTTGGACCCATCCCAGCTGGGGCTGACAAAAGCATTCTTGGCCTTCAACTTATATCCCTTGACTAGTGGGATAAAAGTTGAAGGAAACCTCAGAACCCTGCTGTAGAGACAGAAACACGGGAGTCACCTGCATACGATGAAGCTGTGGTTGGTTTCCTGGTGGGAGGAGTGAAAGGGTCAGCACCCTTCACCGTTCTTGGCCCTGGTAGCTCCTGAAGAAATGGCGCGGTTGGATTATACACCGCGGTGCATTCTACTTGCAAAGCGCTGCCGCTACCAGCTGTCAGTCTGGAGCAATGGCTGGAAAGGCTCGCCATGGTTAAACAGAGCATATTTCCTCTCTAGTACTTAGCTCTGGCTGCATTTCTTATCCGGGGTCAATGAAAGAGATTAGCAGCTAATCCATACGTCATCTTGATAACAAGAGGTGACTTAAAAGAGCCGCTGCTTGAACCACAAATCAGCATTGATTGATGCAGAAGGTCCCATAAAAGCCAAGATGATCTTCTCCTTTCTTGCAGCAAACGGCACCGAGACCGTGGCCAGAAAGCAGCCAGACGGCACATATCGCCTCTACGGTTTTAAATGGTTTACGTCGGCTGCCGATTCCGACGTGGCGCTAACCCTGGCCAGGGTAGCAGATGCTGGAGGTCAGGTAAAACAGGTCTGTGTGATGGTGGAACCAGGTGAAAGGAGCAGGGGTGTTCTTTTCTCCTCCTTGTTCCATTCTAACGAAATCCTCTCCGCACGCCTTTTGACGGCCCCAGGGTTCCAGCGGCCTCTCCCTGTTCTTCCTGAGGGCTCGAGATGAGGAGGGGAAGCTGAACGGCATCCAAGTGCAAAGGCTGAAAGACAAGTTGGGCACGCGGCAGATGGCAACCGCGGAGCTATGGCTCAATGGAGCTAAAGCGGAGCTGGTGCGTAAGGTTTCACCTTCCTCTCGGGGATGAGGCTGGCTTGGCACTGCAGGCCACGCAGTGGGGGTTTTGGCACTGATACCAACTGAAAAAGTTCCTCTCTTCCACCTCGGTGGCTGGCTGGTCACTTCGCAGAATGCTTTGCCAACGGGGCAGAGCTGAGAAGAGCTCAGGGAAAGGCGGGAGGGCAGGGAAAAATAAAAAGTCATTTTAGGCTGGTCATTTCCCTAAGCCAGTTGCATTGGTCCAGGTGAGGGACAGTTCAGTGTAGCATGCAGGCAGCAACAAACGGCAAGGACCAGAATTGATGGTGCCGATGTGGTCTCCAAAGCCACCTCTCTGGTCATGCCACATATTTTAAAGCAAGCAGACCTTTGTGGTGCCTGGGGACAGACAGAGACAGAAGGGACAGCCTCTATCTCTCCATTGACACGATTTTTGCTTAGATACCTGTCCAGGCTGCAGGCTGTGAGAAAGGCTGACCTCGGCCTCTGCTCCTTGACGCTTTCAGATCTCTGCAGAGGGGCGCGGAGTGGCCTCCATCTCCAACATGCTGAACATAACTCGGATCCACAACGCCGTTCACGCAGTAGCTTCCATGAGAAGGTGAAGGCAGCGCAGATACCCCCTTTCCTGAGCTGAAGGAGCAGCTTATCAGGACAAGGGGACTTTTGTGACGCTCGGCGTCGCAGCCAGCTGACATCCAGAGCCTTTGCGGGCGCAGGTTTGGGAGCCAGCAGTGCTGAGGAAGGTTGGCCTGGGGGTGGGGGACTTAGGCTGGCGAGCTGACCCTGAGCAGGGTCCTGCTAGTGCGGGTGGCTGGAAGGGAAAGCTCAGAAGAGGGGAGCAGCTTATCAGGACAAGGGGACTTTTGTGACGCTCGGCGTCGCAGCCAGCTGACATCCAGAGCCTTTGCGGGCGCAGGTTTGGGAGCCAGCAGTGCTGAGGAAGGTTGGCCTGGGGGTGGGGGACTTAGGCTGGCGAGCTGACCCTGAGCAGGGTCCTGCTAGTGCGGGTGGCTGGAAGGGAAAGCTCAGAAGAGGAAGGTTCTGCAGGTCTAACGGCTTTCCCTGGCTGCGTTCTCTCTAGGATGCTCAGCCTGAGCAGGGAGTACGCCCGCAGGCGCGTTGCCTTTGGGAAGCTCCTCAAGGACCATCCCCTGCACATGCAGACGTTAGCTCGGATGGAGGTAAGGCTCTGGGGAGCTACGCTCAACCTGTGAGTGAGGAAAGAGGGCAGAGAACCTTAAAGAACCATAGAATGGTTTGATTTGGAAGAGACCTTAAAGACCATCCAGTTCTAACCCTGCTGCCATGGGCAGGGACATCTCCCCCCGGACCAGGTGGCTCAAAGCCTCATACAACCTGGCCTTGAACACTTCCAGGACGACACATCCACAGCTTCTCGGGGCAGCCTGTGCCAGTGTGTCACCACCCTCAGAATGAAGAACTTCTTACTAATGTCTAATCTGAATCTACCCTGCTCCAGTCTAAAACCACTGACCCTGTCCTATCACCACGTGCCTTTGTGAAAAGTCCACCCCAGCTTTCCTGTAGCCCCCTTCAGCTGCTGGTGAGCACGGCCAGCCCGCCTCTGCACACAACAGTCAGGTGTCGCCGGCCGTTCATGCTACAGCAGGGGAACGGCCGTATCCTAGTGGGATTCGATCTGACGACAGACCTAGCTTTTCTGCTGGACGTCAGGTTATCCTCACCAACGATTACCTGGGAGCTATCTTGAGAGGAAGCAAGCTTGCTACTTTCCCTTGGGCCACGGTAGGGTCATGCAAATTTTTAAAACGATATTTAAAAAGCCTCTTGCAAAGTGGCAGATATGGAAAGTCATCAGCATCTGTTAAATGTAACACTCCAAGGTCTCTAAACCTGTGGCCAGATCCTGTATCGTCCTGCAGGACGTCGTCAGGCACAGGGGCTACAGAGCTCCCTATCCTGATGCTTCCCAAAGCACAACCGGCCAGGGAAGTAAACTACCCAGCAAGAAATCTGCAGATCTTGATGCTCAGAGGATGACATGACCACACGAGATGTGAGGTCTTACCCTTGGGAAGGACGTAGGTTTCTGAGCTGGAGACTCAACAGGAGCTTTGATAAGGCTCCGAGTAGGCCTGGTGCATCAACATCACCCCTCTCCTCCTACAGCGCCCCCGTGGCAGCTCCAGACTGCCTTCAACATTTCGTGCTTTATGCCTTGCCTGGTCTTTGTCTCTGAAGCTGTGGGTCCATATGGGCAGGGGTGGCTTTTTGTCAAGGTCCAAGTATGGTGCATCCCTTCCAGATAGGCTCATGGCACGGCGGCAGACCGGGCTGGAATCAGCCTGAGCCAAAGACTGTTGCCAGTGAAACTCGCTGCTTCTCTCCTTGCAGGTGCAGACGCGAGGGGCATTTCTTCTAGTCATGGACATCGTTCGTCTGCTTGGTCTCACGGAAACCAACCAGGCGAGTGAGCAAGACCAGCTTCTCTTGAGACTGCTGATACCACTCGCCAAACTGTACACCGGGAAGCAGGTACGGAACAACCAGTTCGATTAGTTTGATAGCGACAGGACAAGGGGCGATGGCCTGAAACTGCGAGAGGGGAGATTTAGATTAGACATAAGGAAGAAATTCTTCCCCGTGAGGGTGGTGAGGCGCTGGCACAGGCTGGCCCGTCTGCCCAGGGAGGCTGTGGATGCCCCATCCCTGGACGGTTCAAGGCCAGGTTGGACGGGGCTTAGAGCAACCTGGGCTGGTTGGAGAGAGGTGTCCCTGCCCACAGTGAGGGGGTTGGAACAAGATGGTTTTCAACATCCTTTCCAACCTCAACCATTCTGTGATTCTATGACTAGCCCAGAATGGGGCTCTGTGGCACAGGAGCAACCACAGAGCTGGAAAGAGGAGTGATTAATTGCCTCAGCTTAAACACACAGAGGCTTACACACCACAGGCAAGTAGAAGGTAAAGACTCTCCCGGACTAGAGACACGTACTCCCACGTACCAAACAAACCACAGGTTTTTCCTTACCTAGAGAGGACTGTGCTGAGACAGACTCTCCCTGGATCTTCTCGCAAGGACTGACTGCTCCTGCAGGTCCTCTCCCGGTGTTACTCAGTCTTCGTTCCCCAGGCTGCTCCTCCTGTGTATCACGAGAGACTTGCCTGAGTGAGGAACTGCTGTGTGATATTAGAGGTTTCTCACCTCTCTTTGCTACGTGGATCATGTCGGCTCTCTGCATTTTGCAGGCTTCTGCTGTTGTCGTTGAGGCGATGGAGAGTTTCGGTGGCCAAGGTTACATGGAGGACACCGGCCTGCCCGTCATCGTCCGCGATGCTCTGGTGAGAGAGCAGCAGGAGAAGCAGAAGAAGCTGCTGCGCGTCACTTTGTCCCCCGCGTCTTACTCCGCGGTAGCTCAATAAAGACACGCTGAAGGGAAACCACAGTCCTCCCTGGCTGCCTCCAGGCATGGCAGCTCCTTCCTAGTTGCCTTCCTGCTG